GTCTTCATAATGTTCACCTAAATGATTCTTTATCTCTATACTCGATTTTCGAATGAATATATAAAAGTATTTTCTTTTGCTCCCCAGGCAAAATATGTTCAAAGTTTTTTAGAAAATTAAATATATCTACAGCTGACGACGTCATGTCTTTGATTACTGAACCTTCATTTGTAATGTTTGATAATAACGATCAACATGAATTATTTTTGGGTTTATATATTATGAAGGGCGCTCATTTAATGCTTCTCATTCATGTAATTTCTCCGTATTGTTTTCCGAAAATTCAATGCAATAGATATTTAGAGTACGCTTTATATAATTGCTATAATAAGACCATTTAATTCGAATTTCACAATTATCGTAAACTAAGTTGAAATATCGATGGAAAACCCCTGGAATTTCAAGAATACACTTCTTTTCGCACTATACGATTCATTCTTTTGATCGGAGTAAGTTGGTCTAAAATGTACCCAAGGGTTCTGCGTTGTTGTTGTTGTTATTCTTTTTAATAATGGTGTATTTAGTTCAAGAAAATTTCTATCTATCAATTGAATTGTTACAATTATTTTTAAAAGTAAAACAGTGTTTGGAATAATGTATTCAAAACTAGCCTGTTTATTATTTTCTAAAATTCTAAAGCTACTTATATTTTGATTTTGATTCATAAACTTATTACAGCAGTAGCTTCTTAACTTAAACACAACAAGTGTAGAAGTAGAATCTTTATTCTCATCTTTTTTCTTTATACCTCTAACATACGTTATACAATGACCATATTATATGTTTGTCTATAGTTTTTAACATCAATTATTTCTACATTTGGTCTTTATATAATTTATCCTGAACTAGAACCTTTTCAATGTCACCTCTACTTAGAATTCGTTCAGTTTCAATTTCACGATATTCATAGCATTTGATGCTCAGTTTGTCAATATATCTACTATCATAAGTACAACGAATCGGTATATAAAAATTATCATATTCCAATTTGAAATGTCGATAAAATGCTTGCTTTGCCTCAATGATTCCTCCAATATCAGATTTCTTTTCAATAATCTCTCTGCGAAATGCCTCTATAGCTTTATCTATAGTAAAAATTTTCATAGGTTTTCCTTCAATTGTAAAGTCAATTGTAGATTATGGTGTGATTGTTGTTGATGGTTGTGTTATCTCTACAATTGGGGTCGATGGCGACGACGATGATGATAGCGTTGTTGTCAACACTTCAATTTCTTCGTTATAACGCGTTAAAAGAGGCTCACTTTGTTTCAGTAATAATAGTGGAAAAATTATTTGTAAAATATCACTACTATTCGGTAATGTTAAATTAAATTGAATACTTTTCGAGTTTTGATTTATTGCAAGCCTTTTATTATCTAGTTTTTCCCCAAACTGGTGCCCCATAGGCAACTTTGAAAACTAGTATTAATGAAATATAAAATTTAAAATCCATTGTCGCATATTTCTTTGTCAAAGACAATTTAAAATGAGGGTGATTTTATATACTTCCATTAAAATAAAAAAAAACACAAAGCTTAAAATGTCTAGTTCTATTTTATTTCATTATTATTTAAATTATTATCCAGTATGTACTTGTACAAAATATATGCTGTTTTTAAAGCACAACGAATTTGTAGTCGGTTGATTTTCACACAAATTACTTGCGTGCAACATAGCTTCAACAGCTAATATAATAATAGGTGTTCAATCTCAGCTAATATTTGGAACGACCGAGCAAATTCCCTTCGTAGAAAATGGAGTGAAAATGTGCAACGCTCAGGGGGTAAAGCGAGCAAAATTTGCGTACATGTCTTTTAAAAAATGTGGCAAGGTGAGTAATGGTAGCCCCTTACTTGCTCACTAAGGATCCAACTGAATATTGTATTTTGTGCTTTGTACCTTCCACGAGAATTTGTGTAAGTATCTCACTGCCTATAACTATGTTACGGGCGTCGATCCGCTTTTTGGTTTTTGATGATACCAGCGTTAAGAAACAAACTTTAAATGAGTTTTGGACGATGTATCCCCTCATTCGGGAATTTTCGAACTTGTAATGTTTGACTGGAAGTCTCAACCTATAATAAACTTTCGAGGGAATGAAAGTTCTTTGTGCGCCAATTAGGGATCTGAGTTGAAACTCTGGCAGTTGTTTTAAAGAGAGATCTGCTTTCGTGTCAAGCATATAATGATTGTATATGTGTTTACTGAGAGCAGCACGGTTGTTCCCTGGAATTGGAGTTTGTAAGGACCTGTCGCACTCGAAGAGTCGACGAGGCACTAGAGTTGTACACAGTAGCATCGTGATGTCTGCATTGGCTTGAGCATGTGGTTATGCATTTAGTTGCAACAAGGAATGGTGCCGTAACTTTCCATGCGCTCATGCAAACCTTTTCGTACAATCATTACTTGATATGCAAGTTTCGCAGAGTTGATTCGGCTTAGCGAAATGCATTCAGTTTGATACCGTCATTTCCTTGAAATTTTGCCATTGTGTAATTGAGCATCGGGGATTGCAACAAAGGCATGTGAAATCCATTTTCTTTTCTTACACAAATGATTGTATGCTGCAAAACGATCTATTATGACCGAGGTTTTGAGTAGCGACTGGTTTCGGTTTATTTTGGATTGAATAAGCATATATAAATAACATTGGATCCCAACTGTCTCTCGATACGTCTTGCGAATACAAGCGGACATAGAGTCACATATTGCTGTGTGTAATCTTTGTAATTGCTCGCTATTTCTGGTCTGTATAGTAAAAGCGTGCGCAGTATCTTAATTTGATCATCCACTCGTATATTGACCGTAATACCTTCCAAGCTAGCTCGAAATTGTCATCGCTCAATGAATATTGTTTGACGATTGAACCAGCTTTGCCTTGCGTTTTGTACCGGAGATGGTAAATCTTCTGTGCATGGAAGAGCTTAGGGTGGTTTAAGTAGACCGCTGTAAACATATTACGAAAAGCTGACCATTCTTCTGGGTGCTTCCTCTGAGATTCGTTCCGCTCGAGAAGGTGTACTTGGCTGATTAGCTCACCGACATAATTGGAGCTGGTCTGCTAACCTTTGTTGTTCACATGTGTCATAACATGCAAAGGATTTATTGTCTGCTGAAAGTTTGAAGCTTTCGAACAGACATTCGTGGATTTGAACAAACCTCTTTATAGACCTTTTTGAATTCTGCCAAAGAAAATTTGTCTTTAATTTTGAGATACTTTTCCATGCGATCCTAAATTGCGGAATCACTGAACAGTACCCAACAATATTGTCATTTATTTTGACGGCAGGGTTGCGTCTTTACCTGGTTTAGCAATCATAATTATCTGCGACTTTTTCCGTATTTGTGGATAATAAAAGCACTGAAAAGCTTTACAAGAAAAACGAGAGCAATGCTTGGCAATTCTTTTAGAATTCTTGGTGAGATATTATGGCTTCAATGCTCATAGGTGGTTTTTAGCTTGTTTTCTACCATAGTTAAAGGAATGTTTGCAGCGAGCGATCGGTAGTCTTGCTATTCACGACACAATATTTTTATGGCTAATTTATGCTGATTAGCACTAATAACTAACTATCTTGAATCGTACTTTGGATGGTTGATATAAATTGTGTTATGCAATGGGTCAATTATGGAATCATGGCCTCTATTCCCGAAATGGGTGGAATGACGGGTGGGGTCTGGTCACTTTTTTTCAAACGATAGCGTATGTCATTTGACCAGTGTTTGAGCCAAGTAAATTAGGAGGGGCCGTAATTTCTTTATATGCAGGGCAACCTCTACAATTTGCAGTATGATTGCCACCACAGTTACTGCACTTTTTCTTTGTTGCATCGGTTTTATTTGAAGAGCACTTACTAGAATGGTGGAGGTAACCACATGCTACGCCTAAAATACAGTAGGATTTGATGTGCATAAATTTCTAACAGTTCGTACATTTACAGGAGCGTTTCGTTTAAGTGGTTCTTCTACCATAACTCTGGATGGGTTTATTTTTTCTTAAGCTGAGCTGAACTTGTGGATGAGAAAATATTAAGTATGGGATTAGGTACTTTATTTCAATTTATTATATTTACTACCATCCTAACATCTTGCTCTCCTAGAGCTTCTTTTATTTCATTTGAGTCGATCGATGCGCTCAGTCCTTTTGCGCTTTTCAACTGGTAAGAGTAGAATTCAAATTGTTCGTTGAGGGAAATGTAGCGATTTTTCGTTTTGTGCAAATCTATTACTTTCTATCTATTACTTTTTTATTGTATTACATTTAGCATCCACATTGGAGCCCATGGGGTTTACTTTTTTTGCATTGCTCATTTTTTTGCTGGACTTGATTTCCTCTTATTTATGGCCGCACTGGAGTTGCTGCTGCTTTTGCGCTGCTCGTTTTTGTATGTGCTAGTTTTTCTGCTGTCGCTGAATTGCTGGCTTTCGTTGCTAGCGATGACCCGTTTTTTTGTTACTCCTGAGCTGTTCGGGGGGATCTTTGGGCAATAACAGTGATGTAAGTTGCCGTAAGTGAATGCCGTCGCTCTGCTTGATTTGAGATTTGTTTTCATTACATTGTTTTCTTATAGTATACAATTTTTTTTATTTGTTTTGATTGTTTGATCCTTTATATGATTTTTTGTATGCCAAATCAGTCACTATGCTCTCGGTAAAACTTATGCAAAGTAATTTTGATTTATCTCTGTAATTTTGATTTATTATTGGTGTTAATAATTGAAAACCCCGCAGCCGATAAAAAAGTGAGTTTAGTTTGAAACAAATATATATACTAGATCGTACCCTGCCAACAAAACCTGAGTAAAAAACTAGATAGTTTGAGCCAACGTTTGTTCAAAACTGGTTAGTCTGAGTTTACCGTCATTTTTTTTTTCTTTCAAACAATTTTTTGTCATTTGTTTTTACTTCTTTTTTTTTTGTTCTCTATTCCGCTTTATTTTACACCCGCACTTTTTCATTCGCTTCGCGCTTTTTAAGATTTCTAAAATAAAAACACTATATTAGTGTAAACGCAGCTTGTGTTTATCAACTTCTTTATATATTTTTACATTTGATTAAACATCAATTCTTCCCTTTCTAATGAACAATCTAATTACATATATTATCCTTTTCGAATAGAAGTGCAAAACGTGTCGAATGAGCGCAGCGACACAGTACGCAGCCTTCTTCGTCGACTAAAAGTATCCCCGAGTAAACTCGGACTTAAAAAATTGGGTAACAGGATAGGCAATAAAGAGCGTCCAAGATTTCACCCACTTTCTCCATGTATGCGTGATCATTCATCTTTGTTGCACACATTAGGATTACTTCATAAGAAAACGTATAGCTATCCTTTTCTAATTTTCCATCAGCCGGCTCAGAGCTGTTTTTCAAATACAAAATATTCCAAAAATATTGAATCAAAACAAAATATGATGTTTTTCTTTACTTTTATTTTCTTATTCGTATGTATGTAGCTGTAAAATACTTTCCTACTTTTTACAGATAAATATTTGTGTATATACATATATAGGAAAAAATATAAAAAATTAATAAATTATAAATTTTTGAAAAGTTACATATACAAATAATTAGAATTATATATTGTCACCTCCACTTTTAACTTTCACAATATGTATGTGCGCATGTACATACGTACATACATATTTATACCTACAGTGGCTGTTGGTAAAGCCTAGCAACAACCACACGCGTCAAAACAAACTACCACACAAAAGGAGACGACAAAAACTAACAAAGCGACCGGCCAGCTACGTACAATAACAAAACTATTCGATATAAACAAAAATCGCAAGACAACAATTTAACAGCAAATTCAAACTATTTAAAACAATAAAACAAAATATGTTTTTGGGTGCACCCGAGGTGTTGTCCAACCGAACTGGTAACGAACCTACTCGCACTACTCTCATGCTGCCGGGCGGAACTTTAACCCGCCAGTATGACTGGGCTCTGGGTGCGGTATGCTATAGGGATGGGTAGGAACGTAACGAGGGTGGTGACACTGTCGGCACGACAAAACGTACGCAATCAATAAACAGACAACGTGATACTTATGGTTCTCGGTCGGGTGTGCGTCCCGATTTCGGTGCTCCTCCAGTGGTGCCGTCAAACTCCAGTTCCGCCACTGAAAACAACCTCCTATCAATGGGCGGTCTTCAACTGTCCTCTCTGCCTCTTCTGGCTAAACTCAAAAAAATCACTCTCGCCTCTACTGGCGGCACTATTCCTTATTTATTTATTTATTTATTTTTTATCTTCACAAGAAAACCACTCGCACGCAAGCATAAAAAAGAATGTCCACTCTTCTGTAGATTGCAAGAATCTGATCCGGCACGCACTCACGAGCCAGGCCGCAAGCTACGCGTCGGCCTTCGAAATTCTCCTGCAAGTGTGTGTAGGTGCCCAATCATTTGGCGTCGCCCCCATTACCCAAAGGGACCGGGTTGTATAGCGTACACCACCATGGCACACCAAGTACACTGGGACAATTTTTCCCCTCGCCGCACTAAAGAAAAAGGCGACACCCCTTTTTACGGAATTCCTGCGCAAAGCATTCCGTTGCCCTAATATTTGTTAGTGGAGGAACCTTTTTGGGGAACACCTCCTCTTGGAGACTTATACCACTGGGTAGGCACACCGAATGCAACCGTGCCATCAATCCATGGCTTCAAATAATGCAACTATTTGCCGACAGATGTTATTGCCAAGGCTTGGAATGAAAGGAAGCTTAGGCAAAACAAAGGAAATTTATAGACAAACACCAAGAAGTTTTTGTTGCGGCCAGTACGCGACAACTCCGCCCCTTCCCCAACGAAAAGGAAGGAATCTTCCTTTTAGTCGAAATCTTCTACCGGATCCTATTAATTCCTATATGGCCTCAACTCCTTAACGTTCCAACACCCTTTGTCTTTGCCTAAGTCATCTCACTCGCCTGCTCTGGCCTAGTTCTAACGTTTGCCCTAAAATCTTGACCTAACAAGTTGCCACCTTCATCTCTCCACGCTGGATACGACAGAGGCTTTTCCCTACCAGCCGGATCATCCTTCCCAACCAAGAGTCCTTGCCTTTCCGATACACTATATAAAAATCTCATCTCGCTAACCTACTACACGGATCCTTCAACTTATTCAATCAAATAAGTGAATAATGGTCGGTGACGATCGTAAACCTAGCGCCCTCAACATATGGCCGCAGTTTCTCAACCGCCCACAGAACCGCTATACACTCCTTTTGGGTCATCGAATAGTTTCGCTCTCCTTTGTTGAAGGAAATCAGAGGCGTCTGTATGGAATGTGAAAGGCCTGTCAAAATTCGGACAACTCAAAACCGGAGCTGCCACTAAGCGCTCTTTCGCTTCTCTCAAACTCCTTTCACAATCTTCAGTCCAATTGAACTTTCGATTCTTCTTCGTTAAATCGGTGAGAGGCCTAACTAATTCTGCAAAATATTTTATGAATCTGCGGTACCAGGACACTGTGTCTATAAATGACCGCACATGTTTTACGTTATTTGGCATCTCAATTCGAAGCATCGCCTCAACTTTCTCGGGATCTACGTGCTCTGATCTTATGCTCAACTAAATGGGTCCGGCCTAGCCCTTCTGGCATAGCCTGGAACGCCCCAGCTATTAGCTGACCTAATGCCAAAGACTATCTATTTTCGATATATCCGGGATAATACCCGCCTTGGCCCAAAAATCGATGCCGAGAATTACGCCTCGAGGTTACTCGGGAACCACAAGGCATTCCAGGAGACCTACTTTCTCTCACGGGCCCTGACCTGAACGGGTTGTGGTTTCGACCACCACTGGAATCCGTACTACGTTGGGTCCCTTGAGAGCCACTCGGCTTCGCTGCACACGCCGGGCAGTCCCGCTTCATGACCCCAAGCCTACCGTAACCGAATCTCCTACAATTGAAGCATCGGGTATTCGATTCCGGCCTAAAATTATCTACAGGGTCCGGCTCTGCTACCGCCGCGACCTCAACACCAGCCGAGACATAAGCCAGGTCAGGTTCCAACAACCCTTTGAGCTTATGACTTGGAGGAGGGACAATAGCATCTACGGATGACCTCACTGCCTCTAGCTGCCTACCTAAAGCAACTAGTTCCTCAATCGACCCTATTGTCACCAGTGCTAACTGGGTCTGATAAAATGGAAGGAGATTCGACCTAATAAATCCTAACATCCTCTTTTCCGATAGAGGCTTCTGCAGCCTACCAAATATAGTTTTCATCCCTGCTACATATACGCCTATGGACTCGTTCGCTCCCTGAGTCCTTCGCCTAATCTCGTCTAATAGTAGGTCGTCGTAATTGGGGTGCAAAAACTGTAATTTCAACTCTCTAACTAATTCCTCCGAACTACCTACTGTCTTCCGAACTGACCTAAACCATAACAACGCTTTTCTACTAAGCACATGCTTTTATTTAAGCACATGCATAATCACACAAAATGTTTGAATGAATATGACTTACCAAGCAATGTGCACATATCCTACCTTTGTGCTGTTTCTGCTTTAAAATCGTTTTATTCAAATCTGTAAAATTATAGAATATTGCTTTAAGGTAGAAGTTAGTGTAGAAAAATAATTTTAATTATGAAATAAATACGTATTTTTCAAACCCTGTCAAACTATGATAGTTTTTTTAACAAACATTTTGCGTCAACAATTAAAATAATTTTTTCGAATTGACGAAATGTTAGAAAAGAAGTCTCGTCAAAAAGAAAGAAAAAAAAAAAACAAAAAACAAATAGAATTTTTTTGATGCCTTCATAAAAACATGAGAGATAGGCAACGATCATCAATGGCAACAAATAGGCAACTCGCCGGGTTTATTGCCGTAGTGTTAAAGCGACAAAATTTGTTTTTTGTTGCCAATTTGTTGCCTGGATAATAAATCCAACAAAAGTTGTCTGGTGGGGGTAGTCTTGGCTGGCAGGATAACCGTCTTGTATAATAGTATGCAAAGTATTTGTAGTTAAATATTACAAAAATATTATGCCGGAAATGAATAAAAAAAAAATAAATTACAAACACTTTCATATTTATATACGAGGGGATAAACAAAGAGCTGAGGATATATTGTTTAATTTTTGGAAATAACCAGAAATCATAAGCTGCTATATCAAGGGCGCTAAACGTATTTCTTTGATCTCAGAGATTGCAAAAAAATTACTTGTTATTTCAGCAGTGTTGGATGGCGCGTGTCATGATATAAAAAGTAGCGTCGCAAATCCTCTTTCTCTCTGTTTTCCAACAAATTTTTAAAAACTTTTGGTATTTGGTATTCGGTGTACCATTTTGCAGTTATATTCTGACCCTTTTCCTTTTTATTACTTACGCTGCTAATTTTTGTTGCTTAGATTTTACAGGTGAGTTTGTTCCTGTTAGGCTCCGTACCATGGGTTGCTGTTTGGTTTCTGGATATAGAACCAAAATTCGTCATCGGTAACGACTTTACTAAAGTTGCTAAGCTGGCCATTTTCGAACTTTTTTTAGGAAAAATTGAGCAAAATGCACTCCAACTTCTTTTTGGGCCTCATTTAAAATTCGTGGTACACATCGAACAGATTTCTTTGTGTATCCCACATGATTACTTAATATGCGCGACTTCACCAGAGCTAAAGTGATATTATCAGTGGAAGATTTTGGTCGAATTTCTCGGGGCTCGTCCCCTACGAATCTTCAGAACCACTTAAAGATCTTTCTAAAATTTCAAAGCAAGACCAATAAAGTAATTGCAAAGGGTTTCGTATTTTTAGATTTAAGCCAACTTGAAAGTCACCAACTGACCGAACTTTTGTTAATACTCTCGTAATTGCTGGCTTTTTGCTTTTATCGAACTCTATGTTAAAAAAAAAACAAAAATGGTAGAAGTGATAGCTGTTTCGCGACAGATGGAATCACGATTCTTTTGGCAGGCATGGATCCAACATATCCTGACTTAAGAGGCGAATCCTCTGCCACTGTGATTCGTGATTCTGACGTACCAATACATAAATCACCAGCAAAGTTTTGATTTAAAAAATAATGTCTATCATGTTTATCAAATTATTTGCCTCTTAGATGAATGGACATTAGAAGACCTTAGTCAAATTACGAAAGTCCCATCTACTATATTGCGACGAAGAATCGGATTTTGGATAACACATGGAATAATTGGCGAAACACGACCGGGCATTTTCAAACTCTTGGAGGAAGACGGAAAGAAGTCACAATTCGACACCAAAAATATAAATCAAACTCTTGGCGATGAAGATGTTGAATCTGCCATGGCGTCAGCAAGCGACCAGAGAGAAGAAGAACTTCAGGTTTGTATCTCTAGTAAAATGTCACTGAAGAATAAGTTTATTGACATGTAATTTTTTTTTAATGTGGTACGCAGACCGTATTAATATTTTGCGAATAATAAATTACTTTAGCATAGCAAGTAACGAACGGTACAGAAAGTAGGGGACGATACTTATTCATTGCCTACTCTATCCAAATTAGCACTTGTTGCCAGGAGTAATTAAGCTTGGTCGTTGGTGTTAATGTTGATTCCTAGCAAGTAATGAACGGTACAGAAAGTAGGGGACGATACTTATTCATTGCCTACTCTATCCAAATTAGCACTTGTTGCCAGGAGTAATTAAGCTTGGTCGTTGGTGTTAATGTTGATTCCTAGATAGACGAAATTATATACAACTTCAAAGTTTTGACTGTTAATACTGACGTGGAAACGAGTCTCGAATGCGATGACTGTTTTATTACAAGAGGTATTTCGACGTTAGCCAGGAGAAATCAGAACTGACACGGCGTAATCTATGATATTGATGTCGTTGGCATACCCCAGCAGTGGTGCACTCTTGTCTCAAATTAAAGAAGCTTACGATAAAGAGTGGGCTTTAATCTTTCACACAATACGCTGGATAGGACCTTATATGTTATATTAATAATGCTTATCCAAGAGTAGTTAGCGCAGACGATATTGGGTAAACCCACCTAGGTTCCAAACTTCGGGCGTGCTTTTGTGCGACCATATTCTGCTAACTATCGATCAGTTCCTACCGCTTTGTTGTGTTCCAGACATGCCATTGCCCTTTGAATTTCCCCATGGTAAAATTCATAATAGCATCCTCCGCTCACAGCCGTGGCGACTTCAAATACAAACTATACAAAGATTAAAATGCTACATTTATTGTCCATATTTGGAAATCTTTTAAGTCAAGCTAATTCTAAAACAATTTTTACAGGTCTTTTGGTCATATATAGTCGGAATGCTAACGAATTTGGACTCCTTACCACTTGATCGCATTCATCAGATGCTTAAATTGTTTGCTTCGCATGGAGTTGGAATAGAGTTTACCCAAGATGAGCTTAAGAATTTTCTGCAACGAAAAGTCCGGGAACACAAATTAATTTATTCAGGTGGTGTTTATCAGTTATATAAATAAAAAATAAAAAATTAAATAAACAGTATAAAAAATATAGTTTAATCGTGCTAGCTATTTATTCTTTTGCCTAGTTGCGAAAGTAATAAGGACAAAGTGTTAGGGTTAATTGGGGGCCGGAATTCCGGCAACATGGATCGTAAGAGGTGCCGGTTTTTGGAAAGCTGTAAAATATACCTTTTTTACAGTCGCCAAGGGCTCAATAAAAAAGTTACGAAAATTAATTAATATAATTATTAATTAATCCGTTCAGTTATAATCGTAGTTAGGTATTCTGTGTTACGATCGAATCGAAAGAAGAAGAGGAAGGGAGAAGATATTTTCGAAATCAGCTGCTTGCATGTAAATTCACAACTAAAGATGCCGATTTTTTGTGGTATTTAAGCGGGAATTGCACTTAAAAGAATCCCGCTTAAATACCATATGCATTGAAATAATATAATATAATAAATAAGACTTAAAATAATAATAATAAATAATCACTTAAACACTTACGGGAATACCTACCCGAATACATACCTGGATATTCACCTCACTGAATTTACTACTTACCTGCAACCCTACTCCGTTCCGTTATTCCTATATATCTACATATGTAAATGAAAATGTATAAAATCTTAAGGTAACGTTATTTTTTAGGGTTTCGCTCGATATTAAATCTATCGGTTGTGAATAAATTAATAATAATAATCACATACGCAATACAATATGCGATCATATTGTTTGGAAATTAAATTTTCATTAGCACAGGGACACATTACGTGTGTTTCAGTAAAATATTGAATTCAAGTTAATGTAATGTAATTTCAAAGCAACTTGTGGGGTGAATTCCCGACCATTGTAGAAAAACTAAAACTGAAGACATGTATTAATTCCCTACTTTTAAATAAATTTTTTTTAGCCTCCAACCCTACGTGATGCAACTTAAATTTACCGCAACAAAGAAAACGGGAAGTTTTAAATTTTGAAAAATTTTTTAAATTATTAATATGAATTTATGTTTCAGAACATTTTAATTATCTTAATGTAAATATAGTTAAAAACTCAAATTGCTCTTCTATATACTACTATCTCAGCTGTTTTTTGACCAGATGATAGTTTTTCTACTTGTAGGACTGTACAATGTTTCCGACTAGGACTAGTAACAATGCCGAACATTTTTGTCATATATAGAAGGAAGATGATTTGATACACGTAATGTTATGGAATAATTGAATATGCACAATACCATATTTGGAGAAATAATATAAAGGTTTTTGAAGTGGTACATAAGAGGAAAATTTTATAAGGAAATTTTTGAATGAATCACAAAATGGTGTGATACATAAGCGAGTGGTACTTAACTTTTGACTTCACAAAGATCTAGTACTTTAACATCATTATCTCCACTTAATCCAGCAGTAGCGCTTCGCGATTTTTGCGGAAGGCTGTTGCCTATATGGACTTAGTGCAGATTTTATCGTAGAAATGCCCCAGTCGACAGTGTCAAGGTCACTGTCTTTTCTTGAAGAAACGGAGGGAAAATGTCGCGCACGGTAGCCGATTGGTTAGCATTGCGTACTGCCATTCGGTAGGCCAGAGTTGAAAGCGTAGTGTGAGAAACATCCAAAAGTTATGGAAAATTAGTTTTAATATAAAATTAAGTCAGCAGGGAATGTCAACCTCTCCGAGTTTTATTCTGACATGAAATAATGGATAAACATAAAAAAAACATCATTAGTGGTGGCTTAGTAGAAGGCTGGCTTTCTAGGAGTCATTGTGTGCGTTTATGGTACGCACATAAAAAATAAAATTCTGCTGAAGGGGTTACACACTCCGATTATTGATCTTCATATCGGTCTCATTTTCGGCCCAGATTTTATGTCGATTTTAGGAGTTAAAGAAACCGATTTATCGGTTTAAATGTCAGAATTAAACCGAGCAGTTATTCAACAGAATTTTGTTGGTTTAAATTCTGTAGGGGAATTCTCTATCGTATTATAACAATTTTCGGATCCTTATAATGACTTAACGATATATTCAACGATTACGCCATTCTCTAAGCACAGTATAACGATTTTCGGATCGCAAAGAAGACTTAGCGATAATTCTAACGATTTTAATATTCGGTGTATTTGTTTGAACTTGAACGATATTCGCTCTCGCTGTTGTCGTAAACTACTCGAAAAATCGCTAACTAAGCGAAGAATATTTTTAAGTTGTTAGCGATATCGACAAAATTTTGTTATTTCATTTAAGAGAGTAGAGTGTCCGCGAAATAGTCTAAGTTAGACAAAAATAAAAATAAAAAAAATTAATGAATGGCTTTTGAATATTTGGCATACGATTTATCACAAGATGAAGAGGTATCCTACCCTTCATCATTGGACAGAAGTTTGCGTCGAGAAGCGGAAGATCTTCTTCATTTGGATGCTACTGAGTTTCGGAAGCTATATACAATGTCTCAAACGTATAATTGGACACCAAGTATAAGATTATTCAAGTTCCTATTGCTCTCTTCAATGTAAAAAATTGCAAAAAATGTTGATGCAGAGTGGCAGATTATAAAAAAAAACCTTTAAAGCAATG